GTCAAAAATCAATAGAGGCACAGAATTCAGAATCTATTCCACGGGATTTATAAATCCTACCACCCCTGCAACGGGTCTACAATAATTGAGGTAAAAATTTTAGCCATCTTTCATAAAAACAAAATCTATATTTTTACTGATAATAAGGCGGTTATCAAAATTGTTTCAGCAATCTGCACCTCGTCCCAGATAGTCCACGGTAACTTCAGTTGGGGTTCTTAGACATACTAACATACTACATGTATATCATTAATCATTAAAAAATATGTATTTATTTGTGCCATACATGTTTAGTTTTGCTCACGAAGTCTTCGAATAATTTCGCTGTGAATAATAATCGCAAATCCAGAAATTTGAAGACTCCGGATTCACAAAAAATCTAATTTTTTTCAACTGTGGAGACTTTGTTTGCTATCCGATTAATCGGATTTACCAAATTTGACACGAAGAATAAGAGGAAAACTTAGGTTAGACTTTGACTGCAGTGACTGGAGTTTTAGTATTTGGTCACATCAGTCAAAACAGAGATGGAAAGCATTGGAAATTACAGACTAAATGGACCTTTGAGTTGTGAAGACCACAGTCATCGGACTGCAAATAACTTAAAATCATATTCCAGTAATCATGGATAAAAAGATAAGTAGCTAATTATAAATTCGGAAATCTAGATCTTATTTATCTAAATTAGCAGTGAGATTGTTAATTACATTAATTATAAGCAGTGATGGAGTATTTAGAAATGAATCAGATTCTTTAAGAATGTACTCTACGAAGTATTGTACATGCTGTATTCATTATTAAACAACGTAATTGTGAATGGATAATGAAATCAAAATAGAAAGCAAGGAATTGGGGTAGTCTTAGAGAGAGAGCTTGTTGGAAAAATTTTTTGTGTGTAGAATATCAGTAGAGAAACTATGACAGCTAGTTAGATATCTGCACATTAAGGACAACAAGTACATTTCTTCCGTCCTAGTGGTACAAAAAAAGTTTCGGTTAAAGTAGTGTTGGACAAAATGTGAACTAACCTATATGCGTCATGGTTTCAGGCTGCGTCTGCACTGTCAAATTTCTTGTAATACATGTCTACCAGCGCTCGAGAGCTAGACTTTGGTTCACCTGTTGTGTCTATGTCCACGCTTATCCAAAACCAGGCTTAAGTTTTTTGGCGCCCCATTCTTGCATTTCCGTAAATAGGTCATAAAGTTACATTTATTAATTCTGTGGAATTAAAGCGACAATCTTAGCTAATTACGAAGGATTAAGTCTTTCTTCCACTTCACATACCTATCTTTTGGTGGTGTTTTTTGGTGCTCTAATTTTGTAAAATTAAACTCTATCCATGTATCGAAATCTATAATTCTATAACATCGCATTTCGGACTTTGTTGTTAAAATCAGACATTGGAAGTTACAATACTAAATATATCATAATAACATAATATTCCTAAAATGAAGTTTATATTCCTAAAATGTTATTAAAGTTTAGGTGCCTGAAATAATAATTTTAGAAATCTAAATTTATTATTTTTTATTATAATAGAAAAATCTGAATGTGTAAGGTGAGTGAATATAATTTTTTTATGTTTTCTCGAATGTATTCTCCATCTATAAGTAAAGCCATTTCATTTTATCTACACGCTTGCAAATAAATATACTATACCACAAAGACTAAACATTTGTTGTATGTACCAATTTTGCCTTAAGTAACAAAATATAAATCTTGGGGAAATACGTAGCACTTCTTACCTCTTTTATAGTAAAACTATGAGTTATTGGTTTCACTAAGTGCAAAGCAATTCATCCTTAACGTGGCATTATGAGTGACTTGGTTTAAGTGGTTTAGGGTATTAATTATAATTTTTATTAAAGCATTCCCAACGGCGATAGTGTGAGGTACAAGTCAAAATGAAATGTGAACAATTTATAATTAAAACAAAAAATGTTATAAATAAATTCGTTTATTGAAAAAAAAGGAAAATTTATTTTCATGTCATTCTAGTTAATAGCCTTTACGCTATTTCCCTATTTGCGTGCGCTGACTCCACTTACCCGAGATTAACATGATCAGTGCCCATAAATTCAGCCAAGTCAACACAAATTTATCAAAAACTTAACTAACATTTCACACGCACACCTTCCAATTTATTTTTTTTTCACTTTAATGGTAAAGAACTGCATAAGTTATGTAATTTATATGACAGTAGACACCCTGTATACGCCATTTTGTACTGATGAATTACAGCCTACTTGTACTGAAATCGACGTTTATAAATTTTGTGTTTTTTTGTGTAGTTTTTATGTAGGCACCGCGAGCTTTAACTACAACCAAAGCAAATAAAAACCATAGGTAAGGCAGTGTGAAAAACGCCATTGGCCAAAATGCGTTGACTTCGTCTCGACCAGATTTGGTATAATTATTTTATAAAAATCAAAACCTCACGAGAGTCGCCATTTTTATCTAATATCTTCGCTTAATTAAAAGGATTTGACACTTGCTTTGAGATAGACAGCAACATATTGCGTACCGTCCGCAATCGCATCCCAAGTATTCGAAATAAAATATGGACGCAATTTAAAGCAACTAAGTAAATACAGCGAAATTATTGCAGAGTTAAAGAATTTGTCACTTTCCACACCAAAGTTATCTGGATGAGTTAAATGAGGTTGTTTCATTTCGTATTTTTATTAGTTTCATAACGGGTTAACTTTTTTTACGCTTCGTACTAACTTCAAATACTGTTCGCGCTGTGCGAAACTTAGAACATTTTAGCTTTCATATACGATCATCCTCTAGTATAACCTCGATCTCAGAGAGTCACTCGAGAATTTTCGAACAGCGAATAGTGCTCGAGCATTCGCTGTTATAAATATTTGCAAAACAAAACCAAATTAAAACGAAACATAAAACACTTCCGAACGTTTCCGATGCTCGAACAACTCGGGCAGTTGTTCATATAATACGCTATTTCACACTTTTAGGAATAATTGAGCACTTTAAGTTTCATTAGATAGAATCTATTAACATATAACATATATATATATGATATAAAGCGGCTCTCCGAAGACACTTCAAAGTGACATGGTACATCCATACAAATGACATGCTAAGAGACTTAAGAATAGACACGGTCAAAAAATACACAAAGGACAGAGCCCTGAAGTTATTCGCGCAAACCGACAGGCTCCCCTACTTAGCACTATCTAATCTCAGAATAACCATTAGCCACAAGGTGCGGTACGCAGATCTTAGATAAGTCATCGAATAATCACGAAGCTTTTGAGAAATATGTAAGTAAATTAGTGAATGAGAATGGTGGGGCTCTACAAAAAACATCCAGCTATCTAAAAGTATATTACCCAGATGCACTAACTCGTAAAAGGCTCAACATGAATTGCGAATTGTATACAATGTTCAAAATTCCCTTTTTAAAAATATGGATTAATGCATACATACAATCACAACAAACAGCCAATGAGTTTGCTACTTGACTCTTCTATCTCATAAATGAACCTGAAGGGACCGATCACATCTTCCGCTTTATGCGTAAAACTGCAGAAAAAGTGATTGAATATCACCATAGGCAACGAAACCACTGGTACGGAATATCGTCATTACCACAGAGAAACACTCAGCATCTCAAGCTATTTTGTGGTAAGTTGCGACATGCGCCTAAAGAAAGATATCGGTAAAAGAAAAGGGAGAAGGCGAGAAAAAAGGAAGCAGAAACATGTAACTACAAAATCCTTGTAAAACCGGGTGATAGAAATATGGGTCGAAACTTCTACCAAAAAATTAAAAGCTTGATAAATGGCTATATGTCTATAATTAATTCTGATAAAATAATATAAAAATGGTAATTTAGTGATAGATATTAATGGCATGCTTAATAATAGAAAATGGAGAGATAACTTTTGGAACCTACTTAATGGCGGTAGTAATGATGTAACTGAATTCGAAATTGTTCCTCATTTTTCAATTGTTGATGATGAAACAATCGTTAAGTCTTCTGTCTATAGTAAAGTTTAAATAGCTGTAACGCAGCTTAAAAACTATAACATAAAGCTGCAGGCGCAGATGTTTTACCGACTGAGCTATTCAAAACTGGTGTCGAAAAGCTATCTAAATGCAAGCTGCAGCTAATTCGCTGAATGCGGGTGGATGATTGCAAGCCCAATGATTGGAATTTAAGTGCGATTTGTTTATTATAGCAGGTTAAGCAGATAGATCTTTACTTCAAGACAAAAAAAAACAAATCGGTTTCTATCAACAAACAAAAAGCACATAAATTGGACAATTTTTAATAGAAATTGTTCAATTTTCTTTTATTAGGAACGTGCATATGGATTATTTATGCTATTGATACAACTATATAGAAATGTTAATTATGTATATGTCTGTTACCTTCTATATTAATCTTTTCTTTAAATATAAACTCTATTTTTTATATATCTATATGAACAGGGATGAATAAGTAGAATAATTGAAAGCAGATTCTTGAAAACTTATTTAAAGCTCATACGCAAACAAATATTTGAGGGGTGATTTAAACACTAAAACCCCCTCTTATACATATACAAATGTTTCCGTAGTAATTATTGGCTAAATTGGCTGCCAATAAATAATTATTAATTTCAATATTAGTCATGATGGTGTCATCCATAAAAAGTGCTAGAACATCGAAGGCACGATGTATGGTTATAATAAATTAAAATCTTCGCTCAAAACACCCTAATATTTCTTTCTAGTCCTATTATGCGTAATAAAAAAAAAAAATTCAAATTTTTTATGTAAAAACCAAGCTTTTAAACATTTTCAAAACTTCACTATTTAGAAGTAGGCATTGTATTTTTAATTAAATATACTTCGAAATTGGACTCAAAAAATCATTATTAATAAATATTTTCAACTGTCCGTTTCAAAATTTACAAAAAACTTAGAACTGTTTTAAAAATTACTTCATATATTTTTATAAAAATTTGCATAGATTTTTAAATAGAATGGCGCGAGTTCAAAAATTTAAAGTCGCCGACCCAAAAAATCCGACATTCAGCGAAAAAACAAGAATGCTCCAAGGTCAACTTCAGCGAAGTTTAAAAGCACAGGATTTCAAATTCACAGCTTTCGTTGCTGCGGCGCGCAGTGAGGATTACAATCATACAATGAACCCCATCCCACCAGGATTTACTATGCAAGATGGAGAACTGGATATTGAAAAACTAAGAAATCTTATAAATCAGGTTCCAAAATTATCACAATTACACAAAATATTGGAAGAGCAACAATTCAGTCAAATAAACAGAGACATTATTAACCTAGTATTTTGGGTCATTCTTTATGCTCAAAATATACACCAAATATCAGTAGAAGAGTTTATGTCAAAGTTGCCACTGACTGATGAGAACAGATGTGATAGAAAACCAGCTCATGTATTTAGAGTCGTCGCTAGACGACAACCATGGTTTAATGAGATAGTCGCAACACATAATATTAGAACTTCAACTGGAATTTACTGCTCAAAATTTGAGGGAATTTTCAAGCTCTTAGTCCATGAGTTTAAAATAATGAACTCTGAATATTTGTTATTGAGGACTGATTTTGATCCTGCCTTTAGTTTGAGTGAACGAGTATGGGAAAATTCAGAATTCTTTACAGAATTTCGGTGTGTTGCCGTATGTTCCATTTTAGAGCATAATGAAAAGGTGGAGAAATATATATTAAACAACGCATACTCTTATCTAAAGATTTTTGACGAAAATCTGCTTTTGCTCAATTATTTGGTACTTTATGAAGACGAAACGAAAGCAATTAAAGGTGAAGATCCTGAGCAATCCTGGTGGAAAAGTAAGAGTCATGCTATCCTACTTGGTGTTTTAGCTTTACTGGGGGTATTAGTGGCTGTTAAAGCAACAAGGTCTATACGTACCGGTGAGCCGAAATTTAATTACTGATCTCAGTTCTGTTTTCTTTGGTCAACTTTAAACGGACTTAACTACAAAAGTGTCACGTTATCCCGAATTATATGAAGCGATTTTAATACTTGTAATTCATAATGATGTAGCAAGTACATATCTTATATCTTCTTAAATACAATATAGATTTATTATATTATAATTTATGAATGGAGTGAATTATTATAAAGAAAATATATTTTGGTGTTGAAATGTTATAAATGTAATGCACGTTATAGGAGTAAATAATAATATTTTAGTGTGGATAGCATAGCAAGACAGAAAATATTACTTTTTAAATGAATGTACCACCAAAACTTTTCAAAATAGTATTCACACTAAGGCCGTGTGCGAGTTCGAGTAAATTGAGGTAAAGTAAATTGAAATATCCTAGGGATTTTTTCACTGCACTTATGTAAATATTTATTTATTTATTTATTGCACTTTTTTTTTACTTTTGTTAAAAGTTTTCAATTTATTCATTTATTTATTAAACATTTTTCAAAATTTTCACAATTGTAACACCAAAATTACCTAATTTTTATCTAATTTACCATATTCGAAATTCTGGTAAATATCAAATGTTCGCTGTCATATCGACATAATTTACTATTTCCCTCAATTTACTATCAATTTACTCGAACTTGCACAAGGCCTAAGAATGACAATTTTGATTTGACTGTCTGCATAACATGCCGTCATAATCACGACTAAAATTCATAAGTTTATTTCCATAGCGTTGGGATATAGTAATATTGTAACCTAATGGAAATATGCTTTATGCTAAAGTCAAATTGATTTATAAATTGAAGGCACTATATCTTGTAAATTTAAAAAAAAAAATCTACAACGCTAAAAATCATTTAAAAAGGAATCAATTGATCTTAACAGAACTGAAGTACTAACCAAAGCTGAATAAATAATGATTCATAAAAATAATTATTTAAATGTATATAGGAATATTATTAATATGTTGAAAAATAATTGTGAGAATTTAAAACTAACCTATATTATATAGAAGGTAAAGTAAAAAAAATTTATATTTCTAAACAAAAGAAAAACCTACATACATTACTAAGTTAACATGTTCTTATAAACTAAAAAATCAAAATAAAATTCTGATACCTAAGAAAAAATATAGTTACAAGTGAATAAGTGACTTTTTTTTAATTCTATTTGTAAAATATTATTAATACAAGTATTCTTAAAAATAGATGTAAGACCCTTACACCCTAAGTATTACATCTAAGTGTAGGCTAAGCATGAGACGACTCGAATTAACTTAACGTTAATATGAATTATTCCAATGATACATCTGTGTGCGAAATAATTTTGACGTTCGATGAATATAGTTTGGAATGTGACCTTTATGGACTGAGCTTGGAACATATCTAATACAACCAACATAATTATGTACTATAGACCACAGTAATTAAACAATTAGAATAAGATAAGTTCCCTAATAGTAAGTTGGCAAATCAAATTCTATATTCAAATTTTTATTCAAAATTGCCTTTAAATAATTGTAGATATTGATATACCTTAACAATAGTTCAATATATCTTTGAAAATGAGTCATATTTTTTTCATTCCCGTGAATTACATTTTCAAAGTTAGTTTCTTTTCATAACCAAATGGTTGTTGTTAACGACATCTTTCAAATTCATAGGTATATGATTCATTTTCTATAATAATGTTATTCACGTCTTTTAAAACACTAAAATTACATATCTTATGTATTTGTTTCGATTCGAGCAAGTTTTGAGAGTAAATTATATAAAATGTCAATACCAAATCGTAGACTCGTTTTATGAGTATATCAAAGTTTTGAAAGATAATAATTTATCGTCAAAAGTGGAAGTCAATTTATTGATACTATCTTGTTCTGATATTCGTCGTTCAAAATCACAAGAATCTTTGACACTATATATCAACTAGTGGCAGCAAGCCACAAGCTGACTAGCGGAGACTACTGAACGCGACCAAGGACGACTAACGTCTGTAATGGTTTTATAAATTTATGTCACTTGTAATTTGGACAGAAGTTCTAAGTCCAACATAAGGCATATGTGTTTATATAAAGAACAGTTCATCTAACTAAAGTCGCTAAACTGCACTTGCTTCACAACTTTAATTGCATATTGACAATATCAACAATTTGCAAGAATTTGAAGAATAATAAACTTAACTTATAGGATTGAAATATAAGTATGAGTCACAGAGAAGTTAGTCTATTTCTAGGCTTATTAAGCACTATTAGAAGAGAAACCAATACCCCAGATGATTAAATTAAAACTTAATGTATCTTTTTAACGAAGTACTCGCATTTAAATTTGATGATCGTTTCAAATTAGTAAATGTTCCTAATAAAAGCAAATATTTTAAATTGTTTGCGTCCTTGGTAAGATGATGCTGTTATTAAAAATAAAGTTAATATGTTTACAGTAGCCGTCAGTAGTAATTTAGTATAATTAATACAATCCCAGCGATAGATATAGATGCTATGCGTTACCTAAATGCCTAACAAACTGCCATAATCTGTCTTTTTGTATGAATGTCAAAATTTATCTGTCGAACTTATCGCATAATTATTTTTTTCCACCATTTTAATAACTTAATTAATGTTAACCAGTTCTGTTTTCAACTCCACTTTCCATTCTCTTTTGCAATTTGATGAGTCACTTGAAAGGAAAAAGATACAAAATTTTAATTATTTTATTAATATATTATTGCCTCACTATATTATTAAAACTAAAATGGACAAACTGATTTGATTGATGAGTTGTTAAAAAATTTAAGATAAATTATATTTGGGTTATTGGTTTTGAAGCTGAAACTCTGAAACTTTCCATCTGAGTTCACAGCAATACTTCGATGTGTCCACAGAAAATTTTGCAGTTCCACGAAGTTGCCATATGCAAATTGTCCAACATGTTGCGGCATGTAACGCCCGTATGTGGACATGTGTTCAACAGGTTGCACATATGCCCCCCAAAATGAGCAATGTTTTTTTCCTGAAACATCTTCCATTATAATTGTTGACGTTGCTGTTGTTGTTGTTGTTATTGTTATTCTTATTATTATAAGACTGCACAACTCTTCGGAATGAAGCCGCGAGTGCATTAGTGTGAACAAGGCTTGAGGCGCCGTCTAAATTACCAACAACCGATTGCAATATAACAGGCTATATATCAATAACGCTGTCTTTCACCTTGCAACGGGCGCCAGAAGTTTTTGTATTTTTTTTCCCCTCTTACCTTAATCTTTGCTATCCTTTTTCTTATACGTATCTTTTTATTGAAACCCTTTTTTGCCATCCATTTTGTTATGCAGGCTAAATTTAAATACGAGGTGCAACAAGCGAAAGAAAAAATATCTAAAATCAAGAGATAAGCGTACTCCAAAATACAAAAATAAAAACAGAAAAATAAAAAATTAAAAGACACAAAAAGAAGAATTGTAGCCACAGAAGAAATATCACGAGAAATTCCCTGCAAACGATAAGCTCAGCATCTTCAATCTTGCCAGTCTGCTTATCGTGCCGTTGAGAAAGAAGCCACTTAAAAGGCGAACACTCGTACTTTGATGCTTGTAATGTCATGGATTTCTGAAATACTGGAAAAATTAACAAATGACTAAAAAAGTGAGACTAAAGGCATTGATAATAAAATTGGTGAAGACACAAAAAGAGCAGCGTGACTGTTCGGATAACGATAAAATGCTGGCTGGCATACAGGGGGAATACCTTTGCTGCCACATGCTTTCATTTATTTCTCTGAATTTTATAGATATTTCCTAGAATTTCGTTTAAATTTCTGAGAATTAAAAGCCAAGATAAATTTTAGTTAAACAGAAAAAAAACACATGGATGATTGTGCAGCAAGGAATTCCCTATGCCATAGCAGTTGATAATACAATGCGCTGGCATGTATTTTGTATTTATTGACTAGAACGCGAAAAAAAAACATAATATGAAAGAAGAGGTCTCAAGCGAATAATTTAGTAAAAAAAGTAATAACGAGGACTAATTTATTTTAATATACAAAGAAATAATGCTATAATTAATAATAACATATATACTGCAATTAATAATAACACTGAACTATAAACTTACAATTTAGTAACCAGAAGAACGAAGAGAGAGCCTACTGAAATGCATAAGTAAGAGAGAGCCTACTGAAATGCATGACAAATTATTTGTAAAGCAAAAATAAGACTCCTTTTATATAGTAAAATATAGCCTTTAGGAAAAACGTGAACTTTCATTTAGGGATACTTGATAACTACTTCCTTAGTATTACAATACGAATATTCATGGAAAAGATCATGTGTGCATGACTTTTACCAGATTATTGTAAATGCAAACATAGTTCTGATACCACACAAATATAGACCACACAAAGGATAATTTAATAAAGTTTTCCAAATGAAAATGGTTTGAGTTCATTATCGATACTAACAGAATGTAAACGTTGTACTTAGTATAGTAAAATGAGCAGGATCAATAACAAAATATTGCTATAGCTAATAGCTCATTTGTATTGTCGGTAAAATACATATACAACGATGAACAAGTTGATATAGATGAATTAAGTCATGATTGTATATGACTTATCAGACGTTAACGTGGTTTTAAAACGATTTTCCAGAGCTGCGTGAAGTCATCAAAGAGCAGCGTAAATCTTCATTCGAATTTAAGAAATTGAAGGATTTCTAAAACAACCACATACTGTATTTTGACCTAACACTTGACCCACCGAAAAGTGTGTGAACAGTTTGTTCCGAACAAATTATGATTACTAATAAAAAGTGGGATTTTTATATGATCTAAATACTAAGTATCAATTACTTAAAAGCCATTTATAAGCTAAACCCCAAAAAAATCTCGTTTGGATACGTCAAAAATAACACTTCCGAGACTTCATATATAAACAATTGCTTTCACCAAATGATATCGTTAGTAAATGTTTATTAAACAAATATTCTAACAAACTTGGTCCAAATGATGAGAAACCACATTTATATTAAAGTTTATTATTGATATCGAATTTACTGAAATAATATCTTAGAAATACATAAGGAATATATTTTGATAAATAATCCGTAGTCTATTGTCGAAAAATCCATCCAGTAATCAAGGAAGAGAAAATGAGGTACTTGTATGAATTAATATTCAATGAAAAAATTTATATAAACTATCAATAAAGATCGTCTTAAATTAAAGTGTAGTTATTTATGCCAGTAATATACTTCAATGAAAACAGTGGCGTAACTACAGGGAAGCGACTGAAAGCAACGCTTTCGGGCCTCCGAATTTAGGGGGCCTCATTATAAATTGATGCATTCATTATATATATTTATATGTTGGAATAACTTAAATTTTGGTTTTTGAACAAGGTTGCATTTGTAATTTCAAGAAAATCTTTAAAATTTCTTTGTGTTGATATTTAAGTGGAGCCAAGAAAAGAAAAGAGCAAAACGAACGAAAAGAAACATTAAAGAAATTACCAAAACTGGACAATTTTGTAAAAATAAATGAAAACAAAAGTGAAGAAGTAAACGATTTAAATGATGTCTTTGCTAATTTTGATACACAGAATAAATTGACACATTGTTCAAATACTGACACAGACTTCTGAACAGACTAATTCTTCCCACCACGAGAGAAGAAATACTGAACAGACTAATTCTTCCGACTACGAGAGATTACAATGGCCATTGCCGAAGGATCCTATTAAAGAAAATAGAAGTTTCAATGCTTCATACTTTGGTAATGCTATTCAAAGTTATTAGATTCAGTATATTGTAAACCGTGCTGGTTATTTTCTAATCAAACAAATCAATAGTGTTCTGGATTTCGGGATTGAAAAAATTTGTCAGGAAAAATTAAAATACATATAATACATCTATAAGAATTAGTATGCTAATTTCAATCAAATCAAATGGTGAACAGCTTCTGCTCCCGAAAAGTATGTGTGTAAAGTTTCATTCGAAGAGTTCAAAAGCTGAGAGAGTAGTTTGAACTGAAAAAGTATATATATACATATACTGATATATACTTATATATTTTGCCGTTTTCTTTAATGGGTTATGAAAATCTTGACTGTTTCGTATAAAGGGTATAAAAAGATGTTAGTAGGAGCCCCTTAGTTAGAATTTGCTTATGGGCCTAAAAAATGTAGTTACGCCACTGAATGGAAAGCATTTTTGTAGTCTTAAATATATAGTATGAAAAAAGATTGTGTTTGTATTACATCTCTGATATAGATCTCTGATATAGATAGTCAGATATTGAATTGTAAAACTTGAAAAGAATCAGAAGTTAATTGCTTGATTTGAGAAAAGTTAGAAGGTGGATTGTGAGATTTAGTGTGATATTTGCGAGCAAAAAATACAGCAAATATTCACTGATTTTCACTACCTGGAAAGATGACCAGAGAATGTTTCTAGAAAGATATTGTGCTTATGATTATAATTATTATGATTATGATCACGATATATATATATTCCTAAATCAGAGAAGTGCTCTTTTTAGAAAGTATGTATGAGATTAGAAGAGGATTGAGCTGCTTAAAAGTTTTGCTTAAACGCAAGAAGCTTGTATTCATTCAAAACAGTTTTGACTCCTACTGATGTAAAAAGTGACATTCTGAAGAACTTGATTAATATATCACACCATTTAGATATTTAAGTTAAGTGTAAGTTATAATTCAATTTGATCCCTCAGTTATAACAACAGTGAGCAAAAGTATTGCAACGACAGTCATCTCCAAAGAAAAGTGGCATGTTCATTGTGATTCGGTTAAGGATATCGTATATATAGAGATTAAATAGAGGTGCCAACATAGTAATTGGGGAACTTCTGGCATGAATTTGAAATATTGTTGTTTATGAACGTTTTCGTTTACATGAAACTTAATTTCAATGTGATGTTGTTGTTAGCTAGTTGTTGTAAGAATTTGTACTTTAGTTCCCTGAAGGTTACTGTACCGATGATTTTTTGAGCTGAGTGAACAGTTGCATTGTCTTGATGAAATATTTTTTTTTCTGTTAAATAGAAGAAATGTCACCAATTAGTTCTAAGGTTACAATAATAAGGATTATTGCTTTATTGACTTTGAGGTGATTTACATTTCATATTTTTTTTACTTCAGAGCCCACAAACCGGTTTACATTACTCCTTAGCCTCTTGCTTAAATCAAGATCTTGGTTGTAGACCCAAATCTCATTCATAGTAAAGAATCATGCATAAAATCGTTTTTGGTTATTGTTTGACAGTTTGAAGTTACTGATAAAAACGCTTTTAAATGCGGTTTTGTTATAAGCGAATGTGGTATCCATTATATACACAGTTTTTTGAAACCCAAAGCTAGACAAAAAATAATGCTTACTATGGTTAATAAAATACTTCTACTAAGTTTTTGGTCTATGTAGCATCTTCTAAACCCATATTGTTTTTTTGCAACGATTTTTGACACTAATGCATTTTTACGACTTCCTTCACATAAGTCGGTCACAAGTCTTGTACGATCACTTTTGTACAAACCAGCCCTTCTGTAATTCATTGTTTTTGAAGGACCAGGTTCTTTTAGCTCATTTAGAATTGCGGTAGGAATTTTCATGGTTTTTAAAGCATGGTTAAGAAAAGATTTATGTATTGCATGACATCAATTTTTCCCATTATTAAAAATTACACCACATTAACTTCAACAGGCTTGTAAGTAAAGAACGATCTAAATAAAAATGGACTATGATATTACGAAATATTGACGCAGTACTTTTGATAAATAGATGATACTAGTGAATTGTTTTGAACAGTCCAATGCGATAATCGCTTTTTATGAAATACTGTTTCACGTTCCGCTCCCTGTGATCCTGCTGGGATCCTACATATATAAAGCGTCGTTTGTAATTAATTTACATATTTTCTACTTCTTTTTTTCTTCTTGTTTTCTTAGTCCAATAATTCCACTTGTCAAGAGTTCAGATTTATTTTTCAATATATTTATTTATTAAATGTTAAATCAATTTATATTTTTAATAAATTTTTATTTATGTTATAATGCATTCAAAAAATTTATTTCAATTTAATTGCAGTATAATAAATACTATTTTATGCAAATCGAATAACGTAAACTATTCATATTTTTTTATTAATAATTTTATTCAAATTTTATGATAGCTGACAACGGTAAGGCAGTGCAATTTACATGTAAACCTGAAAGAACCGTACTTTATATAAAACAAGCAAACCACAAAAAAAAAAAACAAACAAATAAAAGGTGTTTAAAATTAAAAGTGAGTGATGCAGATTAGTTAGTGTTGTTACTCTTGACGCTTCAGTGCTTAAAGTTAATGTTTATTTTGCTAATGTGCTTATACTAAAGTGAATAAATTATAAATTGAATTTAATTTATATTACATATGAATTACATAGTAAATTACAAAAGTAGTTATAAATTTAAAATTAATAATGAATTTACTAGTGAATTAAAATTATTGTGTGGTTGTTTATGATAAGTTGAGGTAAGTTTGCAATTCTTTATAAATTTAAATTAGAAGTAATATTTTCTATAAGGACATTAATATTTGAAAATATCTATATATTAAAATAATATTAATAATTAAAAAAATGCACTTCACAAAAGCACGTTTCAGTTAAAAACAACAGTTACTGGTGAGCAAAAAATACAAAAACAATAAATTAAATATCACTCATTCTCCTGCAAGCAGCGCAGCCATTATACCTACCCCAATATAAACCACAAAATTAGAATAAATGCAAAGCTTTATTTATAATCGTACTGTCTAGCGACGCTTTGGTAATAATAAAAGAGAACAAAACTGAAAAACTACAAATAGCTCACCCCACACTTGACTATGTTTGCAAATAATTCTAAAACATAGAAAAATATTTATTTCTATGTTTTTAAAAATTATAGAATTGTAAACAACACCAGCAGAAAGTGAACATCAAGTATCTGGCAATATTATTTTAACCTACTTACTATATAAAAATGTTAGAAAAATTTTTAATTAATATTTCTAAAGTGCAGTAAATAAATTAATATCATTGTTAATTAAATTAATAATTTTTATAATAATTAAATTAAAAATTTTATTAAAAATTAATCATTTATTTAATAAATAAAATTTTAAGTCAAGGTTTTAATTTTGAACAAAATTTAATGTCATCATATTTAATAATAAATAAAGCAAGTACGGGAGCTGTTAATGATAAATAAAGGTAGTTTAATGTTTCCTATTTTTAAATTAATTTTTTAATATAGTGAATAGATTTGCGACAGCAGTATTTTAGTTTTATTATTATGTATTATTATTTGGTAGTCGGTGGACTGCCCGAAATCAGTCTGCCTGATAGCAGGGTGTAGCCTAGCTGCACTTAAAGCTGCAAAGCGTCAAAATCCACTGTGGACTCCAGTGCTGTAGTAGGACAGGTACATTCCGCTGATGTAATAGTCTTCTATTTAAAATAACGTTTTTTTTCAAAAAAATCGCATTAATTAAAACAAAATGTGTCGAAATTCCTCTTTCTCCATTTTAGATTTCAAATAGTCCATATTGATAATGTAATCTAAACACTAGCTTTAGCATTAGTGTTTAAGTTATAATAAAATTTAGTACAACCATCATTAGATATTTAAATAGCTCTCGTATATAATTTAATCTCGTAAGAATAATTTAATTTTGACATCCTAAAGGCATATTTTTGTAGACGTACACAAAATACAAAATTATATCAAAGTATTTTTTTCATTTTTTTGCAGGTGGTAAAAACAACTATCAAACAGGTTAGTGAATTTTTATTTCCTTATTTATAATATTTCTCATAATGTATGCAAATGATATATGTTTAAAATAAACCATTGCATACTTATTTAAAGTACATATTTGTAAAATGTATATAAAGTATAATTAATTAAAAAATGTGTTGCAATTCTATGGGTGTGGGTTCTACGCCCATGTGGTGCCTTTATCTACGGCCATAAATGGTAAAATTTCGTTAAAGGATCAACCATAGATTATTAATTTTTATGTTTCATTCTTTATTTTTAATTTATTGTCATTAATGTGTACAAAACAAGTATATATTTACACTTGAAAATATATATCTCTGTAAATCATTTTAATTCTATTAGCATATCATCCTTAATATAGATTATTTTTTCACTTAATATGTGACACTTGTAAGAACATTGAAATATGGTTGATTGTAGTTCTACCAACATTTTGCCTCAAACTTACCTATATTCATGGGAAAGTATTTTTAGTTTTGGAACTACACAATAATTAGATTTAAGTGACTCTAATCTCAAACTGCTATAATTTTTGTACCAGCAACAACACTGGGTCTATATTTTGTCTAATTTTATTTTTAATAACTTAATGTAGGATTTACATCTTACATTTTTGGAGAAATCTTGATTCGAGGTGGAGTTCATATATAATAGTATGAGCAGCAGTATTATTTGTACGAAACAAGGGAAGTGTCTGTTGTAAAATCAGTCAAATATTTTTTTATGTGAATAAATCTTTAATATTACAAACTACAACATATTATAACGAAATTGGAAGTATTGTAAAATGCAATGATGCAAAAAAGTGCATTTGCGATAGAAATGATTCGGAGAGTATTGGATATAACCATATAACAAAAACACAAAACTAATATATGATGATCCGCAGGTTCACATTCTTGGACTGTGCAACTCAACAACTTGTTGATCAGTAAAGAGCCGTAATTTCATGTTGGAGGTGGCTATATAAAGAATTCAAAATAAATTCGGAAATTTTTAAAGAAACCAATTTGAAGTAAAATATATTGATTTATGAAAGGTTGCTGTTTAATTGGACTAACCTTTATATTATTTCATAAGTCTATTCCCAGGAATGGGATTCAAACGCATATAGTTCAAATTTCGTGTTCCTTAAAATTATTTCAATTGAGCCACCTCTTTTGTTATTTTAAGGTTTTTCTTAGAAATTGGACTCAGCCGCAGATAGTTCAAAGTTGTGATTTTGCAGAAAGACAATGGAATGGCTTTTTTTGTTTTTGTTTTTTTTTTGCTTGCAGTAGATAGAAAGCATCGAAAGCCACAGTGTGAAACTAGAACCCAGTAAAACCACCTCTCAGGAATGAATAGAGACGATTTCCACAGCAATGTAGAAACTTTATTCTAGCAATGAGGAGAGAGAGATGAGATAGGCTCTCTGATGCGAATCGTAGAGTAACAGTAGCATGGCATGTTCCGTATTACGGAAAGAAAGACAGAAAAAAAAAATATAGAAGAAAAATTTCCAATACAACTAATGATGGGTAATACTCGTAACAGCTGTGTGGTCCGCCAAGTATTCATTTTATTAAAAATATTATAAAAAGAATTTTTGTTGTTGCAGTTTATAACTTTTCGAGACCTGTCTATTAAATACCACAGTTTCTATTAAAGTAAAAATAGTCACTAATGTAATATTGACGTTAAGATCAAGTTCAGTATATTAAATATATATATAAAATTCTTAGCTTAATTAATGTTGAATAAAGTAAGCTGTTAAAGTACATAAAGTATTGGCGCTAATCAATTTGAATGGATGTTCTTTAAATCGTCAAAAGATTTATATACAGATTTAATATAAAGAAAATAATTAATGTATATCAGGTATGATACGTTAAAGTGTGACCACCATGAAATCATAAATTTTTAAGCCGTTCTCTATTCACTAATATATTCCACTCTATGCTGCACCTACTCTAACCGATTCTCACTCCATACCTTCACTCTGCCCCCACACTTGAGCTTGGCTTGAATCTAGAAGTGAGGCGCCACTTAAGCAACTTTAAAGATTAAACCACAGTAATGCCGCCCATTTAAAGTGCTTAGCCGGGTATAATGCATGTGCTGCGTTATTGATTGTGCCGCATCATTACATTGACACACAGATACTGGCGCACACACACAAACGCATGCAATGTACATGGGTATGCGCTTTAAATTCATGCAGTTGAAATAGATAAGCGCACGGATTGTGCCTTGCAGCTGAGTGAATGCAAGCGCCGCTTGGATTCGTTGTTTTGGCTTAAAGCCTTTAAATTTTTTGGTTACAAGTTCATCACATTTTTTTGAACGGTTAAGCTTTTATTGATAAAATAAAAAATTTTTGATAAACCGAAATTTTTGCTTTAATTTGATTTGAAGTTAACTACTGCTGCATTTTAATAAAATTAAGTTAAGAACACAAATCTAAATTTATAAGTAAGATTGAATTAATTGAAATAAAATTGATAAATTGAATAAGATGAATTAAAATAAATTAGATAGTATGTAAAAAGTCAATAAGCAAACTTTAAACAGAAGTGATTAAAGTATGCATCAAATATTTATTTCTATTGTATCTACATCACAGGCCAGACAGGTGTATATGTTAGCGATATAGCTTAAATACTTTCAAAGTGTAGTTTCCATGTTAATATCGGTTATATTGGAACACTGGATTGTGGGAAGATATGGAGGCGGGTTGGACTTACCCTATTAACGTCTTCTATAGGCTGATACTTACTTGTCTAAATTTTTAAAATTGACATTTTTTTAATCATATATATGCATTTTTTAATCTGTTACCTGATTATTTTATCAAAACTATTCTTTAACCTTCAGTCGCGAATATAATATATATAGATTTATTTCTGTTTTATTTTTTCACAATGTGGATTATTATGAGTATATTGTTTGTTTAGAAATGCATTCCAATTCAATAAGTCATCTTAAGAATTTTGCATTATTCGGTAGTAGCTACTACTCATTTTCGCTATTGCCTGCAATACTGACAAAATCGATAAAGAAATGAATGGACGAACAAGTTCTTCTAATTGATCGTACGTACGACAGAACTTCTGTTACAGAGGCGCTATTAAATAATTTAAAATTAAGAAGGCCTAAATGTATACATTTGATATATTGTTATATACTGTATAAGTCGTTGCTATAATAGTTTAATGATAGGTATGTATATTTATGTTTGCAACATTACAACCCTACCAAATTAACGAATTATAAGGGTATTAGATCTGTTAATTTTTACGATACTTAAGAACATTAGCTCCTTCTCCTTATGAAATGTTACATGTGTGTTATGTAACGGAAATCATGCCGGAAATCATATTGAAAAATGTTAGGAAATTATCTACCAGATTATAATAAAAAATTTTAATCCAACAATATTTCTGTCTTGTATGTCTTTTATTATCATATATATTGCATAAATTTTAAATTTAATTGGAAATTTGATGTGCTCATTTGAAAAAATAATGTATAAAAACATATTGGTAGAAATCAAACATTAAATAAAGAAAAATTTTTTATTAAAATTAAAATTTTATTTTTTTCATTTTCTATCTTTTAGTTTACAAAAAGTAGGAAATGAAGAGGATTTCCTCCTTTTTTGTAAACTAAAAGAAATAAAAATAAGATTAAATATTTAAAAACTAGATGAGATAAGGCAGTTTAATTGAAAAATAGGTGCTAAGAGAATTCAAAGAAGTTACATTTAAAGCTGAAAAAAAATATAAAACAATAAAAATAAAACTATATCATATAAAATAAAATAAAACAATGTTATATAAAAACAAAATAAAATACCAATAAAAACAAAATAAAGAAAAATAATGAAAGAATGAAAAAAATTAAAAACAAAAATTGGTAATATAAAACAAAATAAAATTAACTAAACTAAAAAAGTATCTGTTTTCATAGAAACATTGTTTGAGTAATACTTGCAGATATATTTTACTATTAAAAATAATAAATTAATTAGAAGGGTTCGAACAGTAATGATAAAGCAATAATAAAAATTTGATTAATTTATTGAAATTTATCTGACTATACAATACTCTTTCGAGTATTGCCAAGTACTAAGTACTCAGTAAATTTTTGTTGCTCCTTTTTCATTACTATTCGAACCCTTCTAATTTCTTTTCGTCATAAGATGCGTCACATTCGACAAAGAAAAAGAATATTAATAAATTAATTTTTAATTATTAATAAGTTAACATTTTATAAAAATTCGAGAAAAATAAAATGTATCAACAAAAATGTATCATTAAAACATTCCAAACGCAATAAGTAACAGTTATTCTATTTTAAAATTTAAACTTTTTTCCAGTTCACTTTGATGAAATCCTTGTGGCAGAATGTATGGATATCTACAAGGGATCTACTGAACAAATAAAGAACTTTCTATTAAAATTAATAGAGAGCGATTGTTCACAATCTAAGCAGAACAATGAAGTGTATAACAAATCAAAGCATTGAAGTGCTTTAATATTTTACTATATTAAATATGTAAAGAGTAAAAATTTAATATATAAGGGCTGCAAAATGTTACAATAATTAAATAATATTTAATATAAATTATCAAATGTTAATAAACAGTAAGAAGCAACCAATTTTATCATGCCTTTTTACGAAAACTAAGCTTTGTAGAAGTTTTGAAAGATTGCCGGAATAGACATATACACAAATTTGTTTGAATATAGACTCTATTTGAACTACTTAATTTAAAAAGATTCATTTTAAGCCCACTTATTCTGGAAATGTATTACTCAATTATCTTTATATATATTTGACAAAAAAAAGATATTCATGTTTTAATATATTCCTAACAATTTATTTATTATTCTATTTAATATAAGTATATATGTTGATCCTTTTTTTGAGTCAGCGCAACTGGACACTTTTACTCTTTGATAGCTGGGGGTACTACAGGGTCCCACCCATCTCATTGACTAATTTGTATATCTCTCATAAGCTTCATGATTATTCAGTGATTGATCTAAGATCTGCGTATCTCCCCGTGCGGAGACTGATTACTCTAAGATTAGATAGTGGTAAGTAGGATAGCCTGTCAATTTTCGCATATAACTTCAGGGCTCTGTCTCTTATGTATTTTTTGATCGGGTCTATTCTAAAAATAAAATTACATTATGTATAATAATTGTTACTTCTTTTAAAGTTTTAAAGTTTTTCAGTGTTGGAATAGTTTCAAGATGGTCATTTTCCAGCTTTTTACAACCCAATAGGTTAATCTTATTTTTCATAACCATCGGTATTGTCTCTAAAGTACTTTATTGTATCGCACTAGGACAACCGAAGTTGTGAGTACCTAAATGCCTTGGTATCAAGTGGGTGCCGCAAATGAAAACCTACTTACTACCAGTTATATTACAAAATAGTTCAGGGTATTGTATCAATATCGTCATAAAGCTCATACAACTCGTGGTTCATTCGGATGCGGTAGTCGTCGCCAACTCATAGAGGAACCAAGATCTTACGAAGAACTTTTCTCTTGAACACTCCCAGTGTTAATTCATGATTCTGTGATAACATCCGTGTTTATACAGAACCATAGGAAGGATGAGCTACATATATAAGCGTAAGTTAAAATTGTTGCTAATCCAACAGGTTGTGGCGAAATATAACTTCGTGACCATTATAATTTTCAAAAATGGCTCCCAGCGATCAAGGTATCTAGATACGAAACAAATGCTCTGATAAAGGTGGTCATAATATACATAACATCTTACGCCCTTATAAAATTCCCTTATTACCTTCTTAAACAAATCCTTCACTGTTTACTTTAAAAAGGCGTTAATTTACTTTTTATTTGCTATCAAGCAAATGAGGTGAATCTCATATTCATAAAAAAAAGTGTGTGGATGAAGCGTAAATTTTTTTTCAGAGCATTTTTTATGTTTCAACGAATATCAAAGTCGGCGAATTTTTCGCAATGTTGGTGGTTATGTTGTTGATATTGTTGTGGCGTCGGCGTCCATGGCGTTATAACTCTGCGTCTTTCAGCTTTTATTGCGCCGGACAGAGTTGCAGCCACAAAATCGGAGTTAGAGTCCAAGTGGTATCGTGGCCGAAGTCATACATTTTGTACGGGAGTGCGACGGACAGGCTTTTAAGCGATGACACCAAATCGCTATTTAGGATTTCTTTTATTTTTGTTGCGGTCGCCTTTTATGTGTTTGTTTGCTTTTGCACTTTGCGGTCATTAAAATTAATTTGGATCAATTTGGTTGCTGCCAAATTGTTGACAATGAAATATAACACAGACGTGGAATTTACGAAAGGAATTCGCCTGCATAAATTAATAAATTATGTCATTAACGATTATTGCACTTATAACTCATTTTCCACTTTTACGGAATTTTATTTCAATTTTATTTTCTTTACAAAGAACTTATTAAAATTATACGTTCGATTTTTTATGCTTAACTAATTGTATCTTCTACATAAATTTTATACATTATTATTTTATTTATAATTTTCAACAAATTATTTAAAACAATTTGTTATAGCTTTTTACATAATTATTAAAAGTACATTCACGTTAATTCTAGATATATTAAATAAAAATTTACATATAACTGGCAAGTCTTAAATTCTATAGTATGGTACTGGGTATTCATTTCACAACGTTCTGTTATATTTTTTAATATTATTAATTTTTTTGTTAAAACAATTTGGCAACGCTCTAAATTAAAGTTATTTTTTGGCAAATAATTCGGATTCAGCTATTTTGTTAGATATGTCGAAAATTGTTCAGTTATTCGAAGACCGCTCGGGTAGTCCAGTACGTGTGATGACACTGGTTGGAATCTCGCCATTGACACTGCGGCTACCATCAATTGGTGGAACCCTGTAACAAGAGAATAAAATAAATTAGTGAAATATATACATGAAATATATTAATAAAAAGATTACTTTGCATTTTTAAATGCAAATTATAAATGCTACTTGATCAATTATTCAGATTTATGTTGAATAAATTAAGAAAAAATTCTACAATCGTAATAAAGTTTTTATGTCCGATATACTAAAATAAATTCAATAAAACCATTTTTAAAAGCCATACTAGTTTTTTCTATCATAGTCAAGTCGCGAATTATCAAACAAATAACTACTTTTTTTTTAAAAAAGCTAGAAGGATTCGAATAGAAATGAAAAAACAACAACAAAAACTTTAGTTGATTTATTAAAATTTGACTGACCATGCAACGCTGTTTAGACTATTCCCAGGTACTCATGATCTTCGGACATATTCTAATTTTTTATTAGTTTATAGCCCATATATAATTTGTTTGGATTGCAAGTGTCAGGCTTAGAACTCGTGCCTGTCAAATTAGAAGCGTTGATTAATTATATTTTTCTACAAGTAGCCAAGGCTACACAAATTTTTAATGCGTAAGCTCCAAGTTTCTTTTTTTATTTCAAGTTTCTTTCATATCCATATTTTATTGGATAGGAATACTGTTGACATGTACTTAATAGATATTAAGAGAGACATGTGTAGGTTTACTGAGTTCAGTGTCCCCATAATAATAAAGCATGATATAATATTGTCTGTGTTAACTCTTGAAGTTTTGTTCGCTTTAGCCTTCTCAGTTTATTGGTAATATCCAGCAGTTGAATAGCTTCTCCATTGCTGTGTTTGAGTACTCGTTTTTGTGCCTAGCAGCTATTTTTTGTATGGTTTCTTTAACCCCTATTACTTTCAAATCTTTATGTATGTCTTAGTTTGCTACATACCTATATGCATTCGTAATCATCCGCAAAAATTTGTTTTAACTTCGATGTATGCTGTCTCGGTTCGATTGTTTCGTACAGCCCCATAGCTGTATGCCATACATCCAAATTGATTTTATGATAGATATATAAATTAGTCTTTTACAAAATAGATTAAGTTAAGATTAAAAGAAACAATCAACTATAAATATGGTATTGTATGGGAGCCATATAAAAATACGAATACACTTATAGTAACAGTTAAAAAACATTAACATATCATTTAAAAAAAAATGTATCAACGAATGAAGAAGATTTGAAATTCTACATTCGTGGATATATGCAGGTGATCTCCTGCACTTATCATTTAATCGACATGAATAATTTAGTGGGAAACGCCAATAGTAAAAATGTTCCACAAAATTTAACAATCAATCTAGCTGTCTGTCTGTGTATTTTCGATTTTATTGATATACACCACATCTAATAAAATATTGTTTCCTTTACAATATTCAAATTCTTTACAAATTTAGGCGTATTAGAATAAAGTATCTAATATACCTTTGTCAAGTCGTTTGGAATGTGAGACATCGGACCTCAAATAAACTATAGAAATTCTTGGTAACTATGTAGAATGATATCAATGTAAATGGCCACATCCTCTGTTTCAATATCGGCAAGATTCTCGACAGCAAACACATCTAATCGAATAGAATTTTGAATGAAGACGTTTCGTAGATCTTACTAAAATTTATATATGAAAATATTCTTATTTTTATATTTGTTTATACATAATTATGTATTTAATTGACTGTACCTAATTGCATAAAGTTTAAACAGTACTTTAAAAATTATTTTGTTTTTAAACAATCGGAATAAATTTGTAAAAGAATTTTTCCGGTTATTATACGGACTATTAAGTGCAGTCTTTCTTAAAGAAAACGTGTGTACAAATACATTCATATGCATTGCGTATTTCTAGATTTGTTTCGTAAATGAACTATCAAATTTCAGTATTACATTATGACTGTTTATAATCCAAACTGCTTTCAAGTCAAAATTACTTATTAAGAATAGAACAATTGTTATTGACAGATGAGAGTAAATGATGGACTCGAAATCAAAAAGAATTTTTATAAACAAAATTCACACCTCTATACCTAATATTGCCCCTTCTTTTCTTGAATGCATCAATTATTATTGCTATTATTGCTACTGTAAATTTTTTTTTGCCGAAAGTGAAGCGTCTTATAACTATTCGAACCCTTCTAATTATTGTTCACTTTAGATAAATTCTCTCAACTTACGTTTGTGTGATTTGTCTATTAAGTGTTGTTGAGTTGGGTAAGTGTGGCGATTGACTTTGAGAAGGTGGATTATACGGAGAATGACTATCTGACGTTATATGATGTCTGCTCATGTTCAGTGAGCCGACTTCCGTTTGTGAAATAGCAACGCCACGTGCTGACATATCATGCAGTTCAACGGCGTTAACAATTGTTTGTTGACCATTCAATGGTAGTCCCAACGGTTGTACTTGCGAAGGATATATAGTACCATTAGTCAACATAACACTTTCTTGCATACCTGTTAAAGAAAATATATTATAATTATTAATTTCATCATAATTTAAATATTATCTCCAACTTACTAGGAAGAGGTGCTCTTAGGGCACCACCACCAGTATTCTTTGGTTTTCGTTTACGTTTTTGTATGCCATCCTTTTTCATAGAAAGCGGGCGATTCATATTGTGCAGTTTGAAGTACAAGCCACAGGCATTACAGACCGGATTTCCATCATTATTTCTTCGCCAAAGTGTAGTTGAATTCGTTTGGCAATTGGCACAGGTTACGCCAGTTCTTCTATTATTGGCAGTCGCTGTGGCTTTGGGTTTTGGTTGACGCGGTTGCATCCGGACTGGAGTGCGTACTGTATTGCAGCCCGATGGACAGACTAGTTCATTATTTCGACGATAGTAAGGTGCGTTACAGCTCTCGCATTTAATTTCTGGTATAGAACTAGAAAGCGAAATCTCGTACGTTGTTGGGGGCCAATGGCTTGGTGCTGTTGTGTAGTCTTCGACCACCTGGTGATGATAGTTATTCTATTTTAGAAAAGTACGAGAATTTGCGAAAATTTTGTTTGAAATTTTGTAGTTTTTTTTTTTGAAAGAAGTTTTAAAAAAACTGTGAATAACCGATATATAATAAAGCAAAAACTACATGATGGAATGCTTTAAAATTGGTAACTACATATACTTACAAATCCAGCATTTTGATAGTCCACGGTAGAAGGTGCCCACAATGACGGGTCCGACACATTCGATGTAACAGGATCAAATAATTGCATAGGCTGAAATTGGCTTGTCTGACGTACTGCACCTAAATTAGGATCCGATTTGCATATAATTTGCTGTGGTGCAACGCTGTAAATAGTATTGCTTTGACCAAGTGCATAAGAAGTGGGTGCATAATTCAGATAACCAGTACTACCGAGATCTGTGAATGTTTTCGTTTCATTCGGATGTGTAGTGGCATCAACTACAGCTGTATCATAATATATATTAGTAGGCGGACCATTGCCATTGTCTATTATACTGCTACTGAAACGTCCATCATCATCGAAACGCAGCGGTGTACTATGCACTAAAGGGTGCGCATTGGCGGGATTATGTGGATTGTGTGGATTATGTTGTTGGTGTAGTGCAGCCGTTGAAACAACTATTGAATCCGCATAGTTGCCATTCGGTGTTGGACACTGTTGCTGCAACTGCTGTTGTTGTTGCTGTTGTTGTTGTTGAGCCTCACTTACTGTTTGGTCCTTGTCAATAGTCTCTATCTTAATGGCGTCAGCACTTTCAGTACAAATAATTTGCTGGCCATTTTCATTGGTGGCATAGGTGTAGACTGTGTTGGGCGGTGGCGGTTGTTCTTCATTACGTGGCGCCATTTGTACGTAATCTGCTGGTGATTGATGACGATTATAATCGGATTGCGAATCAGGTTGATCTGGTTCTCGCGTTTCACTCACTTCACTACAAAAGATTTTTAAGGTAGACAAATAAATTAAAGTGAATTAAATTCAAGCTAAAAATTGAGGTGAGTTGGACTTTATGGCAGTTAACTACTTACAAGGTTCCTGCGGTGGTGAGTACGCGACGGGTTTGTGTTCTAGTGGGAATGGGTATGTAATCATCTGTTGACTGGCTATGCACTATAGTTGTTAAAGCTGTTGGTACAGTTTGTTGTGGGGCATGATGACTAGATAATTGTATTGCTTCTTGTTGATGTTGTTGTTGTTGCTGATCCTCTAGCACACTTGTGGTTTGTTGCTGTTGCTGCTGTAAGTGTTCGCTGGTATTATTTTCACTTTTTATCTTATCCAATAATGGCATATGCTGTTTTGTCAGGGTTTGCTGTTGTTGTTGCTGGTGTTGATGTTGCTGCTGCAATTGTTGTTGTGGCTGTGCTTCCATCTGCAATGAGTTACAATTTTGAACTGATTTAAAACATGCCAAACACTCATATGACAAAGGTAAGAAACATTTATTTTTTTGTTGCAAATTGTTTGTTTTTATTGGGCATAACCTAAGTTCCGGTCGTAATGTTGCCGTTAACGGCTAAGAAAATATTGGCAAGTGCTAAACACCTTCACCGGTGTCAGCCATGAAACTCATATTTCCGCTGAGCTTATTCAAACGATCGTTAAATAATACAAATCATATACAGAAATATTGTTCTGCCGATTCATTTTTGGCGGCAAACTACAAAAGTACTGGCAAAAAAAAACCAAAAACTCAATTTGTCACCTACAATAAAAAAATGTAGATGTCGTCGTTACTTTTGGCTGAAACTGTCGTCATTTTGGTATTTTTTTTTTGTTTAGGTGAACGCGCTCGCTCGTCAATTATGTGTCAACATTATTTTTCACTTTTCATTTTCTAGAGCAAGAGGAAATAGTTGTTAAGAATTCCCTAACAATTAAACAGAAACAACTACACCAACAACAGTAATTGTTTTTTGTCTTATTTCCAAGTTATTTTTTTCTCTCTGAATTTTTGTTTTCCAATATCAATTTTGTTTTGCCGAAGAATAAGTTCAGTCCAAAGTCTTCTTTAAAGTTGGAAATCAAAGTTGACAATTTTGCAGTCAGAGAAGAAGACACCTTAAACGAGTAACGAGTAACTACAATAACAACACCAATAACACGGTTTTATTAGTAACAAATTCTTCTGACAAGACACGTCTTCAATATTCTGACTTGCGTTCTTGTACGTTGTTACTTCACAAATATTTACCTTTTGTAATTATTGACTTGAAGCTGAAATATTTTAAAACTAAACAACTTTCTTCAGTGCTGTTATACTTGCTCCTCTCCCCTACTGAATACCGATTGCTTGCAACAATTTATCACAAACAACTCAAAGATTTATAGGTGCTTGTTATGGAGCAATTAATTAAAGCACTCTGTCAGAGTCTTTGTTTTAAAAAATTAAATATTTTCCTGTAGTCAATCAAATTGATTTTTAAAGCAGTATGTGGAGAATGATTTGCTTATTATTATTACTATTATTTTACACATAATTGTGTCCTGCCTTGTAGCTCTATTTTGTGCTTTCATAGGAAAACTAGCATAAATTATTAAAAAGTTGAAGGCCGTGTTAGGTAGAGTGTCATAAGTTCATTATGAGCAAAATTATGCTTGTTTTCAGTGCAGATTCTAAAATTGAGAGTGAGAGAAAAAAAAATATGTCGGTTCTAATATAGTTATGAGACCAGAGGCTTTTTGTGTCTAGTCACTTACGCAAAACACTCTTATTCAGTAATAACATAAATGTCAACATTTGTGTTTTTTAGAAGCAAATTATTACAATTCCTGTGACACTCTACATAATTTTGACATTTTGACGAAGCCATGCAACTTTACATAACATGGCTCTAAGCAATCAAAGCAGTCATCATCAATATTAAAGTTTTCTCTGCCTACCATACTTGATAACTTAATGGCGTTTTCGATTGGGAAATTTGAATTCAATCCAAACTTACTCTCGATCTGTCAAATGTTATTGTTCAATCGAAGATTTTTAAAGTAATGTAAGCATTTCTGCGGTACTGCTAATAGATATTGGGTCTATATACCTACACTATCATGAACGGAACATGACCATGAACTTGAAAACCGATGTTACCGATAGATAAGAGAGGGAAGAGAGTGTGATGTGAGTTCATTAATTTCACGCATTGAAAATTGCTGCGTTTCCTTCTTTAGCTTGATACGTATACTCTCTGAATACTTACAATTTCTGTGCTCTGCACTACTACACACAAGCATTTTATAATTATAAATATATAATTATAAATATATAAATATCTATATCGTATTAAATCACACTTTATTTTTCAAGTCATATAAAACAGCTGTTCATTTCAGAGTAATTTTGTTGCTCTTTCAAGATATCTAGAGATTACAAATTAATCTCGTATGCTATATATTTGCCCCAGATTTACCAATCGAAAATGAAAAATTCACTAAAAGTGCATTAAAAGAGCTCCTCGATTGAAAAAATTATCCCAGATAATTTCCCAGATAAGATGTTATAAGTATCTGGCATTACACATCCTAAGTATCCCATACTACATATTTTTACTCGTTAATATTGACTTTATAGTGCTATACCATATTCCCAATGTAGCTAAAACAACTTTTATTAATCAAGTTAAGATTAAGATTCAGTCGTTTCCATTAGCATAAGTAGATTTATGATTGTGAAAGTGCTTTTATATATAGTTTTACATTGTTTATATAAATTGATTTATTAATCATAAAAAACGTAGAAAATGCAAAAATTTATTTATAATGTATGTGAAACTGTTGGCCACAATAAAAAAGCAATAGATATAGAAAATATAGAAAATGTAACGATGAAATTCAATTACTTAAAAAAAATATTTCGAGAACACGCAGGAATTTCTGAACTATTGTTTGTATAACGATACTATATAATGATATTATATTTTATAAATGAACTCATTTACATATTTTTAAATATCAATTATATATTTTATTTCTATAAAACGAACATTTTAAAAAATTCTTGGCTATTGTTTCATTAACTAGTTTGTTTTTTGTTTATTTACATTTTATTTCAAGTGTCAAATTTTGATTATTTCCCTTTTGGGAAATATATTTTGCAATTGACATTTTTGCTTTAATTTCCCTTGATTTATTCTGAACTAAGTTAGAAAGCATAAAAGCTCTTTGTAAGGTTAATCAACTTCATTAGCGACCTAAGTCAAACTGCTTTAATGAAGGCAATGGGAACATACTATAATGAACTTTATGAATCTGCAGTAGTTTGGAGATTCTTTTAAATTTACTGTTTTACTAACTTTATCTATATATAGCTATACCTATATAAAATTATTTAAATTATTTTGACGATATTTTTAATTATTATCTTTTAATAGAAAATATCATCTGTTGCAAAAAGTTATACTTTTACTTAGCTCAGGGTAATTCTACGGAAATTTTACGGAACTATTCTTGATATGTTAAGTAGTGCATAATATTGTTAGGATTTCTTTAACACACTAAGCTTAACTTAATTTGATTGAATATATAAATTCTTTTAACTCTATTCTATGATATAAAATTAATAATATATATCATTAACATATTAAGGCAGTTTACTCTAAACTAATCCTATTACTAATATCAAGGACATCATATTAATACGGTAGGAATAGTAATATCACAATACCAAATTTTATGGGATTTTGATTGAGTCCGCTTAGACAATGAATTTATGCTACCATTCGTATATTATTGTAGAGTAGCTACAATTGTAGTTTTATGTGCCTGGCCAGTAGCCCAATTTTTAATAATTTAGCTGTAAGAGACTCGATTTTTCAAGCATAGCAATTAGTCAGAATATTTAATTAGTCATATTTAAATTTTTGTTGCATTCTTATTTTATTTTTTGACAAAGTCCTCTTTAAGCTCAATTAAACTTTTGCAACAGTTGCAGTAGTTCAAATTACAAAAAATAGGCAACCCCTAAATTAGTTAAAAAACAAGTCTGAATGAGTTTTGTTGCCTCAGTTTTTATGTTTTAAATGATAAGTAATAAAAAACATATATTTCTTATATATTTTTATTAGAAATAAAGTTCGCCGGAAAAAGAAATCATTAAACACTTCCTATGTGAATATCCGGCTTTGGAGACAGGAAATAGGTTTTTAAGGATGTATTTCTCTGACAGCTTATCAGACTGTTCATCAGTAAAGATCAAAGACCTCTATTTAAATACTATTATCTATATTCGGCGGGATGAATTTAGTCTGTATTCTTTTATCTTAGCGGTTCTTGCGGAAAATGTGGAAGCTCAAAAAAATTATCTGATGTCTATATCAGGAAATGATAGCCTGCCACTGCAATCAACCAACCAATCAAAGTCCTTATAAAGTAATAAATATGATTAATTCGAAAAAACCTTTAATAGTTTCCATTCAATATGTATATTTTGTTTCTTTATTATCAGATTAACTAAATATTTATTAAAAGTAATTTAATTAATTAAAAGAGTAGTATTTTTGTGTATATGATTTTAATTATTCCAAAATTTTATGTACTTCAGCCCGTCGTCTTCAGGGAGCTTGTAATAAATATATAAGAACATGTTTATATAAGAACATACTATTTCTTGGGATTATAAAGTCGTCTCGATATAAATAAGGTTAGTCACATAATTGCACTTGTATATCAAGATTGCAATATTCTTGAGTCATGAGTTGGTAATCAGTTATTTTGTGCTGTGTAGTCCCCTCGTATATAAAATACTTTCAACGATAAAAACAAAAAAAGACAGCTCATCAATAATTTCGTATTAAATTCCAGTGTTCAAAGTTTCGTTAGAGTTCTTTATTGTTTGCAAAGGGGAACACCCAAATTTGTCATTTATTTTTCAACTAAAGTAAATACATATAACGTAAAACTGATTGTTTAGTTTGAACTAACGTATTTCGTTTTTATCAAAAACGACAAAAATCACATGTAAACTAACTGTACATTCAAATAGTATGCAATAGATTCCTAGTGTAATTTTTACCCAATCCATTTACTATGTAAAAATTATCTTATCCAACTGCTATTACCTTAAAAGCAACAGGTCATGGTGCTTAAACTTTTTGGCGACGTCATAAATGTAAGATAAAAAATGAAATCAAAATTTACTTTTCGAAGTAAAAGCAGTGATAAGATTTAAAAAACTATCTGAAAATAGCAAAAGCAAGTGATCGTTTGCATGTGAAACCCTGCGTCTCTAGTGCAATTGGTAAAAGCCGGTCTTGATAAGAGTTGAGTGCCGTACATGGATAACCATTGCTGCTGCTACTGTTTTGATAACAGATATCAAAAATTGTTCTTAATCAAATTTGAATTAACACTGCAAGAAATGTGTGGTAGCCACCACAGTAG